CGGGGAACGTCCTCCGACCCAGAAGGCCTGTGCAACAGCCCAGCGTGGCCCAGCCCAGCCCATCTCATCCAATCTATAACCCAAACTCCCTTCCCTGGGCATTTTTAATGCTTTTAATTTTTGCTGCGCCAACGAACGGGGAAGAACGGAATGAGCACTAAAAGTAAGCCCAAAAAAGGAGGCAGTGGAATATACGATATACGCTTTTCGGGGGTAAGATGTTCAGTTCTGTTCGGTTAGGGGTTGCAAATGTCCTGGCCGTGTCCTGGCGTATATGTGAGGGTGTGCATCCTTTGATTGCGTGTGTGAGTGGGTAAGGGGCAACCGAAAATGTGCAAAAAATGGGCGTTGCTCGACGCGATATATCTAATGGCTTTGTTTCCGAGAGTTGTCGCCCCAACTCCGCGCACTTCTTGTCGCTGCTGTTTAATGCATGTTGGCAAATGTTGAAATGATGTACTTGCCACCACTCTGCAACACCCCCTGCCACCCCCCTCCCCCCTGCGGTGCGCGGGCATATGCCAGACTGCTAAATATGCATCTGTTAATGGCTCAAAAATTAAAACATTAAGGCGGAGCACTCGTCATCATCGTCATCCCAGTCAACGACTTTGATTGGAAATGTGTTTGGGCTTTCATCCAACCACCCGATCCATCGCAACCACCCTACCGCCCTACCAATTTCCCTGGGAAAGCGCTGAGTAATGGGAAAAGTGCACCTTGCATGGGAAAGATTTGGACGGGCAGATAGAACTCACATTCGAATAATGCGACCCGCTAGTTGACTGAATAATTATACATGTGAGCTGAAAGGTTGGCGTCCACAAAGGGTAATCCAAAATATTTTGTGACTGAAATACGTAAATAGTTTGATACTTAAAAAATTTAAAAAAAAACTTTTCAAAAATATACGCAAATTTAAAAACTTTCGTTTGAATATATGATTTTTAAATTTGTATTTTTAAACATTGAAACAATTATTAGGCAATATTTGATGTTTTGGTGTGACTATACTATACAACTATTTTATTCATTTCTCACGCTTCACAGAAAAAATAAAACAATAAATGAGGAGATGACAGATCTGCAAAATAAAATCATTTCATTCCCTTCTTTGCTTTTGATATGCTTTTCAATCTTTTGAAGGGTCTGAAATCTTCGTTGTGGCCCAGTTAGATTTTTTTTATTGAGTTTTTTTCACCTTTGTTTTGGTAATTCTTTTGAAAGGGTTTTTTTGTGGGTCACTTGCCCCCCGAGTGCAAAGGGTTACGACTGCGAATGGTAAGGGAAAGGGAAATATGGTAAAATATGTTAATTGAAGTAGACCCAAGTTCAAAACGAATGGCGTTAGAATCCATTTACTTTGTGTGGTGAAAGTTCAATTACCTTTATCCGATCACAAGAATGACAGCCGAGCGAGCACTAAATATAGTTTAGATTGAGGTACACTTTCGTACCTCATTTACTGGTGAAAAAATCAATTGATTGGGTGTTGGGTTGAAAATATTAATCGAATTTGGTATGAGTAATATTTCTGTAACAGCAAACTCAAAAATTAATTTCCGTTCCTACCCACCCGATGTTTCTGACTGATTTCCTCTCAATGGCCAGACATCCGAGGGAAATTTCCTTGAGAAACTGTTGTTCTATTGTAGCATTTTCGTTGCTTTTCATCATTCTCAGAGCCTTGCTTTGTATGCTTTATGTTTCCCCTTCGTTTGCTCTGGGCAAATTCATCCTTTTCATTTCGGGCAACTTTTCTTGGACTTGACTCAATTTCCCAATTTTGTTATATACACAAAGACATACACAATTCCCTTGGCGAACATTTCCGAGAAGCAACAATGCATCACCCACCACCGGTGCTCCTCTTTCTCCCCCCCTTTCCCTCACTTTTCCCCGCATTTTCCAGAGGCAGACAATAACAACGTTAAACAACATTGAGCAATAGACAAAGGCAGGCTACTTACAAGCCGCATGCCACCACAAGATGGCCAGTACTCCCTGGAACTCCAACTCCACCTCCATTTCAATCTCCGATTCCCCACCTCACCTGGAACATCTTATCTTATCGCGCAGGTGCACGCCACACAGCTCAAAATGCGACAAGGCAGCGACAGTCGAGCCGCAAGAAAAAAGAGCAATTGCCTTGTCCCCGGCACCCTGCCAACACCCTGCCCCCCCCTTAGCCTGCCGCCCATGCGCACAGTGCACGACATGAATGGCAATTCGTTGGCCAGCAAGAATTTATGAGGCGGCCTCTAAGAACAAGCTCAAAGATTCCGCAAAGAGACCGAGACATGCTGCGGAACACAAGAACCACACAATTAGTCATTTGCGGTTTGTCCCTTCATAATGTCTCTATTGCTTCTTTATATTTCCTCAATATGTTTCAACTAATTATTTTATAAAGTTTTTGGACTCTAGCTGAGTTGAAAGTGAATAAATATTACTCAATGATTTAAATGGTTTCCAATAAACCAGTTTGTTCCCTTTACAGAAACAGAAGCAAGAGTTTGGGGCATCGATGGGAAATGCAAATCACTTGAAATGAAAATGCCTAGCATGGGGGTGTTATAGGGAAACATCAAAGACCGAGACTGTCTAATGAGGAAAATGCATTATTTGACCCCTGGCCTCACCGAATTAGCCTTGTCTGGTCGCGAGATCCGTCTGGACTTCTGTTTCTTGGTTTGGAGGAGGGAAATTGCTTTCAGCAGCAGGGGAATGGGAATCAGAACACCAAGATGAAGCGAATTTATCAAACATATTTCAACATGCGGCGGGAAATGTGTTTCTGATGATGCTGATGGGTCGAAAGGAAAGCCAGCAGCGGCAGCTAATTAAAATGGCTTATAATTTTCATGATTTACACTTGCAGGCTGGTTTCACCGCCCCCCAAACGCCCAGTTCTGGTTCTTATGTTTGTGTTTTGGGTTAAAAGCTCATAAAATTAAAGGCCCTAAAAACATGGCGTAAGCTAAAGGGAGAATTTTAGAGATGTGAACGGAGGAAAGTTTATTTCAGAACAATGAAAATAACATAGTGCGAATGAAAAGATGAAGATGATGAAATGCTTGAGGAATTTTTATAAGGAAGATAATATTTTTCAATAACAAGACATATGTTAACCCAATGAACTCACTTAAAACCTAAAAAATATGAAATACTGTTTTGAACCATTAAATATTAGTAAATTACTTTAATCTAAGACCACTTTCAGATTTGGCCTTTCCTGAAATTAATGTCCACGAATTGCCATAAATTAATTATAAATTCAGTCAAATAAATTATTATCGCCTGACTTGCTAAGCATAATTTCGTGTCACGATTTTCATCCCTAGCAAAAAAAAAACGAATGAAATAAACTTGCTTAAGCTTTTTGATTGTGCAAAGGCAACAACTAACAACAGCAACAACAAATTGTAGGCGCACATTTGGTTTTTATGCTATCCGGTGCACAAAATATAATTCAATCAACGCCAAGTGCCACGCCCCCAATACCGCCACACCATCGCCAGTGAGGGAATTCATTTTCTATTTTTTAGTTATTTTTGACTCTTGCATGCCGCACGTCAGCAGATGGAGGGTTAAGGGGGCAGGGCAGGGCAGGGGTTAAGGCAGAAGAGAAATGTTCCTCAAGATAGTATATATCGTCGTGTATATGAAAAATATGGCATATGAGCTGCTGCTGGTGCGCCCGACCCCTGAAGACCAGATGATGGTCTCTCCCGACTTCACCTCGTGCCGCTTGTTGCCCCTTCTGGAGGATTGGGGAGAGATGAGGAAGGAGGTGGAGGAGCTAGTGGTGCTGGTGGAGCTGCTTTTGGTTCTGGGGTTCCGGAGTTCTGCGGCTGTCAGCTCACGGCGCGCGCAGCAGCATAAATCAACTTATTTCATTGGAATTTATGTTTTGTTGTTGCGCCTGTCGTTGATGCAGTTGCAGCGGCATTGGCATAGCCCTGTGCAACAAACACTCTGACGACTGACGCCACCACCGTCATCCTCAAGCGATCCAGCAATCCAGCAAATCCACGAAGGGATTACACTTGCTTCCTCCTCGAATACCCTTCTTGTGGCTACTGGCAAGGATGAATTCAATTTGTAAGCTAACAGGATACTTTATTCAAAGTTTAAGTCTCTTTAACATGTGTTCTTAAAGTTTAAGGAAACATCTTAAAGTTATTTAATATTTTACTTACTAACTCATTTCAAACGGAGAAATAAAATTCCTATAAATGCCACATTAATTATATTTATCGGTCTACTTACATTATTGGAAAATGAATTATATTATATACCAAAAATATTTGCAGTATCATCAATTTAAATTCGAAACTTAGACAAGAGTATCCAGAGTTCGATTAGGTGTCAAAATCATTTTCCATGAGTATCTCATGCTTGTTGGCTGGTTGTGTGTGCAATTGCTTCATTTGCGGCAATGTCTTCGAGGGAATTGGGGGTCTGCGGGGGAGGTGCAGTGAAAGGAGGTGGAGTGGTAGCAGATTCGGAAAAGTAGGAGGTGAGCGAGGAGGCACAGGCCGCGTGTTAAAATGTACACTTTGCATTTAAATCATTCCGGGAAGTCGAGTTCGTTATATTTATCTGTTGCCATTACCTTACACTCAGGCCCATGTGCAACTGGAGGAGTCTTCAGCAGGAACTCAATCAGCAGGGCCAGTAAATTAAGTAGAAATGAAAAGCTAAGCACTTTCCTTTCTTATTTGTATCCGACTTTTGCTGTTGGCTGCAGCTCAGAGTGCTTAGAATGCGGCTAACTTGTGGCAGAAATATCCACTGTATAATCCGGAGAGTGAGAGATTAAAGGCTCATACTAAAGCTGCCACATAAATTAAACTTACTGAGCAGATTTGAGGAATTGTTGCCCTGGCCAAAAGATATGCCTGTGTTTTCCATACATTTTCTCTTTTCTTTACCATGATTTATAACTGAGACTATGTGGAATACTAAAATGTTTATTCTTCTTTATTTATTTGCAGGTATGTTGAAGATAATGGCCTTAAATACGACTGGTTGAAGTGGCGGAAGTTTTTTCGAGAGACGTAAGTTTAAACAGGCATATGGTAATTGTGTTTTATTTATAGGTAGATAAAGTTAAAGCTTTAAAGGAGGTGGTCACTTTGGCCCACATTGATAAAGGAAGTAATCGAATATAAGAACTTTGATGGATGACTTGTTAGTTGTAGCTCTTTACTCTTGGTCATAAATAATTCACATTGAGTTCTAGCTATATATTTCCTACTCTGCTATTATTTACGTTTTTCTCTCTTCACTCGATTTAATTTTTCCAAGAGTACTGCACACATGCCAGACATTTTTCCTGAGAATATTACTCTTTGACTCGATAAATGACTTTGTCCGGTAATTTGCCTGTACGTTGTGCAACTCCCCGTAACTTTTTTTTTTAGGGCATTCCCACACCCTCTTCCCGTGTAGCGGATAATTATGCCATGCTAAACATTGTCTCACACTCGTCGCTCTTCCTCTTTCGCCCACACTTGGATTTATGGAATACTTAACGAACAAAGTTGTGAATACAACAACGTTTCCCCTTCCAGCAATTAGACGGCATTTCCATTAGCGTTTAACCATTTAACATTTTTCTTGTTTATGGTTGTTTTTTAGTTGGTTTGCTTAACAAGTCTTCACACCTGCCCACATCTTGAGCAAATATATATTTGAGATGTGGCACCAAACAAAAAGAAAGAAGAAGTTGTACAGGAAAAAATCTTGTCACTTGTTGCCAATTAAGAGGAAAAACAGCCTGAGGACCCTGATGATCGTACATCAAGTGGGGTCGGAATGTGTGTGTGTCTCTATATAGTATGTCTGATGTCTGGGTTCTCCAGAGGACCAGAGGCGGTCAACGTCTGACGCTGGCGGCGCAGCTGCTTCAATTAGCTCAGTCTGTTTATTTGCAGATTCTTTTTTTTTGCAACTTTTGTTTTGATTTTCTGTTTTTTCCTTTTTTGAATGTGCAGATTTTTTGCTTGGCTTGGCACATGTGAAAAAAAGTGCAGGGAAGGCGATCCGAAAAGAATCATTTCTTCAACTGTTTAATTGCATTTGCCTTTTCGTGTTGTTGTCTGGCTGCCTGGCTTTTGCATTTAATTACTTTGTTTATGGCCCCGGCAGCAACAATAAAACTTCAATTTATGTGTGTTCTCTTCGGCACCCACCTCCTTTTCCCCTGCCGCAGTCGAATTCCAATGCACAAATTGACAGGCATCCCCCTTCCCCTCCCACATCCACTCCTCCCACCCACCTCCACTCCTCCCACCCACCTCCAACCCCTTTTCGCTGGCCTTTGTTATGTAAACAACGCGAACTTTATATTTTTTGTGTCGACGCTGCAATACTAAAACCAACTTAACTCAACTCGCCGCCCAGCCACCCAAAAAAATAAGGGAACAGAAAGGGAAAACCACCCACAATTCGCATTCTAACTGAAGGCAAAAGTTTTTCCTTGCACAAATAACTCGACTTCTGCGACTCAACTCGCTTTGAATGCTTTGCAATTTCCGCTCTTCTAAATTTGTTGAAAATATTTTCACCCCCCGGACCCCCGGAAAAGCGAGGAAAACTTTTCTGCTGTGCGGACCAGCAGCAACAACAACAACAACAACAGGGCAGCAACCCATGACTGACTGCCCAACCTTGCGTAATATTTTAATAAATTTTGTCGCCAGGCTGGGGCCCCACTGGAGCGAGCGGGACAGATACTGGGAGCGAGCGAGAGGGCAGCACACAATGCCAACTCTGATTGCTGCCACTAACCTTTGTCCGATTTCCGTTCGCAGTTCCTGTTGTTTGGCGCCTGCGTCCTAATTAAAAACGCAGGCAAAAAGTAGGATAAAAGCAACAAAAGTGCGTCGAACCTGTCAAGCAAAAAAATAGAAAAACAACACCGAAAAAAACATTTTTATAATATGTAGTTAAACTAAAGAAAAATAGTCCTTCAATTGTACTCCAGTTTCATGAGTCCTACAGTTTCCAGATTACTTTATTGGAATAAACATACAAAGAGGGCCTAACATTGGATACTAACTTTTTTTTATCTGTTTTCCAACTTTACATACATTGCTTTTAAATGTATTTTCAACCCGTTACAAAAATATACAAGTAAAATGGTATGAATTGTGGATATCAACACAGATAATTGAGTATATTACTTTAAATAGTACTTCGAATAAATTGAACCATAATTTTCCATATCTGTTGAACTTTTTTTCCTGTGCAAGGATCAGCTAAGCAGCAGGACATGGCCTGTCGGTTGATTCCTGCGAGGGAGTGGAGTGTGCACCAGTGGAATTTCCATGTCAAAGCAGATTTTCTAACTGATTTCATGTCCAGCGATTTGAAGCGCTCAACAATTTCCAGCTAGCCATCCAAGTGGCCGCATCCCGCTCGCTCCGATGTCCTGTTCCCTGCTTCCTGCTCCCTGCTCCTTGTCCTCCATTCCAGGCGGTATGATGGCTGATGGCGTTGGCGGCGGCGCCCACTGATGTGGTAATAAACACCCCTTGTGCAGTCTAATGGACCGTAATTAACTCGTGCGCCGACTGCGACTGCTACGCCGACAGAGGCAGCGACGCCATCGTTGTACAAGCGATGAATAATAATTTTTTGCCAAAGCCACAGAGCCGTAGAGTCGTCCAATCCGTGGACAACAACAGGACCCATTGCCAGTCCCCGTAGAGAACCCCCCTTTTCCGAAACCCAGGGCACAGTGGTAACGATTGCCGATTTAATAGCCAATAATTTTCGGGGCCTGATCGCCGGCCATTCGCATCGCATTTACATATGTAACTGGCCAACAGGCAAACACCGTCCAGATGGTGGAAATTACTTATCGCCTGTCATTTCGGGTAATCGCTATCCCACATATTAGGTTCGATTATGAGGCAATCTTTATGTCCACAGCAAGTTGTTGATTATGTGCCGAGTTGATCTATGTACTGCCGAATAATTTCTGGATGAGATATGAGTCGATTTTATTGGGCGCAACACCAGATGTCAACCAAACTGAGATGGTAATTTGACCAAAAAGAGCATTATTACCCGATTAATGTGCTCAGTTTTTATGGATTGCATATTTAGGGATTAGTATTAATAGCTCTGATATGTGCTCTGAGATTAGGGCCGAAATTAGCAATAAAATTATCGTCTTATTTAGATGTTAATGATAGTACTATTTATATGTTGATTTTAGATATTTTCATTGAAACGGAATAGCTTGGCCAAAACCATATTATCAAGACCAAAAAGTACTTAATTATTCATGCATTTATTCAGCCACTTGTGAGATGGTAATTTGGTCAAAGAGAATATTATTAACAGAATAATATATTCGAGTTTTTATTTTAGCATTAAAAGCGAGCAAGGCCAACTGTGTATTACGATTAACAATCTTGTTTTCAGAAATATACTCCTTATAAAACCCTCTTAAGTATACAATTATTTTCAAAAGTAAAAAGTAGCCCATTATGCCACTTATTGTTATTTTCCGCTCCTTAAAAATCCTTTGAAAAGAACTCCTACTCATTGAGTTTTAAAAATCACCATGTCATAAGGCTTTTCGGAGGCAATTACCTGTTCTGGTGGAACTGATTCTTACCATTGTACCCTGTGGCTCCAGATTACCATTGTTGTTGCTGCTGGTCAGGGTGTTGCTGTTGCTGCTGTTGCTGCTGCTGCTGTTGTTTGCGTGACGGATATTGCCTTGTCACTTGCATGTACGAGAAATGTTAAAACGTGGAGCCGCTTGGCTTGGGTTTCATCGGCTTTTGCCTTTTTTCCTAGCTCTTTTCCCCACATCGGTCCACTCAGGTCCTCCCGCTCCTCGGTTGTTACCCCTTTTTCGACCAGCGACCGCAGCAACCGCAGAGCGGCAATCAACGCACAGCACCAACAGCTACAACAGCAACAGCAACAGTAACAGCAACATACAACGAACCATTGGGTTTCTGTACCGTTCGAAAGTTGTGCTAAAATTTAATTAATTTCGCAATTTGCCTAGACGCTGTCGATTGTAGATTGTCAATTGCAGGCTCGTCGACCAATTTCTATCTTTTGAAAGCCGTCGATTTGCGCTTTTTGTGCTCCTCCGTTGCGGCAGCCAAAAAATTATGATGATTGCCATCATCATCATCCAACTCGCTGCACGTAATACCCATAGAGGAGACGTACTCGTAATACCCCACACTAAGCGCGGGGCGTGGCGAATGGGCGGCGATTTAGCCGTGGCCATTATAAATACCAATTTAATGAGCGCAACATATGCAACGGGCACAATTCAGGGGCGCAGAGGGGGGTGGCACATTGCAGCGAACGTTTAATGCGATTACATGGCAGCGGCACATTTGTCATCGGGGGTAGAGTCGCCCAGTAACGGGCGTACACTGAGCCAAATTCGAAATGGACGGGGATTAATCACCGCGATAATTCAATAAGAAATAATAAATGGGTTTATCTTTAAGTCAGTTGCGGTTGAAACCTATTTTGGCTACGGTGCAGTATGAAAAGGAAATTTTTAAAATATCAAGGGGTTGTATCTCTGCGTTATTGAATTACGGAATGGGTTAATCTTTCAACAGAGATTATTTGTAATATATTAGATGAAAAACGGATGGAACATAATAAGGATTTATGATTCAAGTTGTTTTAAGCAATACATTCAGCCTAAAATTCTGACTAGTAAGGTATTTAAGTGTAGAATTATATGACATTCGTCTCCCTGCAGAGCATAAATTTCATTAGATTTTGTCCCGTTCTACAAGTGCTTTAAATGCTACTGTATATATTATGTGTGCTACTTTATGATTTATGTAAGTTTTGTTCACTTATGATGTTTTATTTTATGCACTTTTTATGAGCAGATTTTTAAGCAGATTAAAAGCGTGTTTTGAAAACGCCAAGTAATAAGTTCTTTGATGGGATTTATGGGCTGTTTACGTAAGTTTAAGCGATTAAAAAGTGATGAGTGTTTCAAGTGGCGCCCCAGCCAACTGCAATAATGACTTAATCCGTGAAAGAACTCCCT